AAACCCGACCCAACTGGTACCACTCTGCATGGGCAGGCATCTAATGAGAAGACTAGTCTTTAAAAACTCGCTCTTGGCCATCAACTCAATGGTGACTCACAGTGACCCTAAGGGATAAAGTAGAATTGCCACTCTGGGTTTCCCAGACTAACTTCTTACAAGAGGAGAAAACCTCATCTTTCTCTAAGGAGCAGTTGGTGATTTTGAACTGGTGACCTTGAGATTAGTAGCACAAGGCCAGTGGAGGCAAGCTTCTCTTGCTGCTGGCCACTCTCCCCTGAAAGTGTGTACTGCTTTTATTTGATACTGTGCTCTCGCTTAAGGCTTGGCTCACTGTGTAAACTTTATTGGAATTCTTAGGCAAAATGAATTCACATTCCCTTTCTTAAGAAGGTTTGGCCAAGGTGTAGAAGGAAGAAGGGCAGGCTGGGGAGTGCTCCTAATTCCATGGGAATGGATGCTTTCTTTAATAGGGATGAGGCTCTATCCACTGCTGTTCTAGCTGTTCAAGTAGCATTAAAAAGAGAGAGAAAAGTAACAAACCTTTATTTTTCCCCAGAGCAGATAATACCCCTGTTGGCTGGATGGAGTGTACATGGCCGCCTGTCCGCAGCGCTCGGGTTCACTGCAGTGGAGCCCTGGGGCTCTGGGCATCTCAGTGCTGATGACACTGGACTGGACAGAAAGGGAGCAGGGAGAGCGCTCCTCATCTCTAGGTGGTGCAGTCACAGGTGAGTGCTCCTTTGTGCCCTGATCTGTTTTCCTTTGAAAACCAGGATGCAAGGAATGGTTGCAGAACTTGAGTAATTTCTGGGTTTTGATGAAAGCTCAGGAAGGCCAGTCTCCCAACATTGAGTCACATAGCGCGGGTTGAACACTGGGGGGTTCCGAAGAATCTTGACTCAGGAGGCCAAGGAAGGCTGAAATTGTAGCCTGGAAGGCTTGTGGGTCTACAGGTGTGAGCCATGAGTACCAGATAACAAGCAGCTCTGACTCAGGGCTCTTCAGGAGCTAGATGGAAGCACTTGTAAGATCAGTTTGCCTAAGAGGAGACTTTACAAAGGTCTCAGGAAAATTCCATTACCTTTCCATTCTCTTTTTCTTCCCCACAAGGGTTTAGAAGCCCCCTCCAGGATACATATGCACATCAATCTGTTTACTTTTAAAAAGCCAATGGAAGGCAAAGGAATACCCCACTGCAGTGAAGCCCCAGGAAGGAAGTTCAGCTGGCTTCTGGGCCTTCTGATTTTTTCAATCTACAAAGGGCGGAGGGAGCTGCAAGGAGAGCAGTGTGCTTTGCATTTGTGAGGCCGCAGTGCCACCAAGCGGAAGCATTTCGAGCCTGGTCTGATCAGCGCCAGATGCAATGATCTGGATAAAAATTGCGATATCAGGAAGGGTACTTTGGGTGCCACACAGTTGATCTTGAGCTAGTGTGAAAGCCACCAATGCCAACTCCCAGACAGATAATCCCCGGGCTGCGCAGTTGCCAGGATCTGTGAGCTGTGTGGGCATGGTGCCAGTGGCCGCCATGTTTGGGAGAAAGGGGTGAATGTGTTGTTTAATCCTGCCATTGAATATCAAAGGAATGTGTTTTGAAGGAGAATAATGCAAGTATACAAGAGGTTGTGGTTGATTATGAGGGTGGTCAGAGCAGAGACCCATAGCCCACCTGTAGGCAATGGAACATCCCCCACAGAGGTGTCACAGGGAAGGGATGAGTCAACCAGGGCGCAGTAAAGCACTGATTAAACACACACTATTCCTCTGCTTCCTTCAGGCTTCCTCACCACGCATTCCCATGACCCCAGTGATGCCTCTCACTTGGGACGAGACCGGAGCATGTACATGGATGTAGATAAGAGATAGAGTTCATGACACAGGCAACCCAGGAGCAGGACTGGGAATAGCAATAACAGATGGGTAGGGAGAAGGGGTGGGGGGAGGAAGCAGGGGAGAAATGGGGAACATGTCCTAATGGTTGACACACACACCCCTCCAGGGGAAACAGTGGTCTGTGTGGGATATGAAAAAAATAATGTATAATCTCTCTGGGGTCATGCAGGGGTAGAGGAGGGAGGAGGCAAAAA